TATTTGGTAGGCCCTTTTAATCTTGGTAGAATATACGTTTTACTTAATAGGTAGCAGAGAGCTGTTTTTTGAGCTTGGACATGACCTGGTCTGAACTGAGCTTTAGGATAATTCACTTACTGCAGAGTGTAGGATAAACTGGAGGTGGAAAGGCCTCAGGGGAAGGACAGCTACAAAGCTAATGCTTTTAGCATGGTGAAAGCTAACCAAGCCTGCGTTAGAATGGCGTCACTAGGAACAGAAAGCAGGGGTTGATTTATGCTAGGGTGGAGGAGAAGACTGAAAGGTAACTCCATGTTCAAGCAAGTCTGAGGTAGAACCTACCAGTTCCACTGAACATAAAAAGGATCCACAAAGGGAAGGGTGTTTGGGCCGAGGACAGGGGGAGGGAGTTCACTTTCCATGCACTGAGTCTGAAGTACGGGAAGCATATCTTAGTGGAGGTGTTCAACATTTACAGACTCCTGACCCGACCCCCAGTCCTGTGGATGGGGCTGGGGAGGGAGATCTTAAAGTCAACACTATCCAAGTGAGAGTTGAACCCACAGAAGTGAATAGATGACCAGGGAATTGGAGACAGAGACAGGAGCAAGACGAAGACGGACAACAGAATCTCAAGAAATGTCTAAAATTCTTCCCTTACAATGAACGGGGCATGGTCAGTGTTATAGTGTATAATCAGAAGAGTGCTGCATCATTGTGTCCAAGGGGAAAGAGAATATTGAAAGGGAGCAGCTGGTGAACCACGCTTTAAAGGTTGCATTACTGCTTGGGGGATTAGCTGCTTAGAAGTGGTGTCTAGAGAGCCTAAAAGGGACTGGCTATAAGAAAAGAGTTAAGAGCATTGTGATGAGGGAACCTCTTATGTGTGTGTGTTTGCTGACAGGTGAACAGAGGAGAAAATTGAACGCGTACCTAGTATTCAGTTTGTGATAGCCAAGATTCCAAATCCTTGTCTCTCCTTAATACTGGCATCTTTCGAATGTATCAAAAATTCGTATTATGCTATGTCGCTTTTATGAAAGACCTATATTAGTACCTGTTTTCATTGACCCAAGGAAATCTGAAGAGGATTTTCACTGTATGAAAAAAGGAGAAAAGCAAAAATAACGTTCAGCTTTTGCAGTGAGCCCTTAATACAGGCAGTGTGCACCCTGACCAGTGAGAGTGGCGCCCCCAAACTCCTTCCCCTGGAACTACACTCAGCATCTCAGCCTCCAGCCACCATAGCTTTGAACTGTGTCTGTGAGCATCTGCGCTTATCTTGATTTATTTTGTGCATCCGTTAACAAGATGGGTCCTAGGGTATCTGAAAAGCCTAAGAGAGGTTATTTTTTTGGGTCTGGGAATGCTCAAAAAATTTTCCATATAAATCACTGGTAAGGGGGCGCCTGGGTGGCTCAGTTGGTTAAGCGACTGCCTTCGGCTCAGGTCATGATCCTGGAGTCCCGGGATCGATTCCCATGTCGGGCTCCTTGCTTAGCAGGGGGTCTGCTTCTCCCTCTGACCCTCCCCTCTCTCATGTGCTCTCTCTCTCTCATTCTCTCTCTCAAATAAATAAATAAAATCTTTAAAAAAAAATCACTGGTAAGTGCTTCTTTGCTTTATGTCATTTCAGTTTATGAAAGCTTTCATAGGTATGCTCTACTTTAGGATAGGGACAGGAAACCTGTATTGGTAATATGTACTCTGAACCCAAGGCCTCTTTCTTTCTTTTGCAAATCTCAGCCTTTATTTTTCAGCCTGTTACTTGGGGAATTTATTAGTTTTTTCGCCTCCATAGTTCCCCAATTTTAGTTCCCCCTTGTCCTGGGGCTTGGGTTTGATTCTTGGAATTGAGTTCCAACGACAATAAATATGTAGATCACCTCTGAGAGCTTAGTGTCTGAAACTCTAGAGGGAGGAAAAGGAGGAGGGGTAGGGCAGGCTGGGAAATGAGACTTTAGCTCTATTGTAGTTCACACACAAAGGCCTGTTTGCAAACTGCAATGTAAACTAAGACTTTATCAGCCAAGGATTTATGTTCACATTAAGATCTGGGATTACACCAGGGAGATACCCCTGGTATAAATCTAAGTAGGATTAACTGCTTCCCTGCAATGCAAATTGGCTTGTCACTGGTGTTTGTTTTTTCTCCAATATTTTTCATAAGTGACAATAATTTTTTTTAAAGATTATTTATTTATTTATTTGAGAGAGAGAGAGAGAGTGAGAGAGCACAAGCGGGGAGAGGAGCAGAGGGAGAGGGAAAGCAGACTCATCCCAGGACCCCGAGATCATGACCTTAGCCGAAGGCAGACACTTAACCCACTGAACCACCCAGGCACCCCTTAAGTGATAATAATTTGCAAAAACCATGGAATATTTGCTTTTGGCTCCATAACAGTTAGTACAACTCTACTCACCCAAGGGGAGAAAATAAAAACCTTAAGGAATCCAGATCCCTCAATGAATTAAAAACTTAGGAGACTAGGGTTTTAATCTGTCTACTAACCATCTATTTTACCTTAGGTAGGTTGTTTAATAGAATTCTTTTTTTTTTTTTTAAAGATTTTATTTATTTATTTGAGAGACAGAGTCAGAGAGAGAGTGAGAGCACAAGAGGGAGGAGCGGGAGAGGGAGAAGCAGACTCCCCGTCGAGCAGGGAGCCCGATGCGGGACTCGATCCAGGGACTCCAGGATCATGACCTGAGCCGAAGGCAGTCGCTTAACCAACTGAGCCACCCAGGCGCCCTGTTTAATAGAATTCTATGCTTCAATTTTTTTCATTGGCTCAATGATGATTTAAAAAATACTGGTTCTGCTTATCTCAGAGAACTATTGTTCAAGTTGTGAACTATTTTCTCTTTAAGTTATAAACATTAGATAAATTCCAGACATACTATTACTTAGGCATTAGATAATCACTGCAGCTAGTCTGAGGACGGATGGGAGGTGAAGCAGGGACTGGGGATTTGGAGTCTAGATGAAGAAAGGATTACTGAGAGCTTTTTCTTCAGCTCAACAATGGATGACGCCATCAAGAAAATAAGCTTGAGAAAAAAACCTCTGTGAATGTTTCATACACCACTCCCAATGCTGCTTTGAGATAATTGCTTGGCTAAATAAATTCCTTTCATATTGACTAATAAAGAGTGCTCAGATTTGTACACCTGATGCCCATTATCCACTTGCTCTCTGACTTCTGTTACCATGACTTCAGCAGTAATTTAGTATAAATAAAAATGCTCTAGCTCTGTTTAGTGCTGGGCCCTGTAATCTCCCAGCTTTGTTACCTTCCCATGTCCACTCAAGCACTGAAGAATATGATGATTTATACTTGGAAATCTGACTACGGAGTCAGATAGTAAGAAATCGGGGATTTAGATATCAGAAATGATCACTCCAATGCATCACCAAACCATGCATCAACAAGCTCAGTTAGAAAAGGTTCTTGAGGGAACAAAGTTGAAATAGGCATTATCATTGAGACATTACAGACCTATCTGTACTGGTGGTTGATTTGCCAGGTAACCTGGCTGTTCCTCAGTTTCCTCAACCATTAAACAAAAGGCAAAGTGAGATTATCTTGAAGGTCACTTCCTGCTTTGAAATACTATTCCTCTAAACAGTTTGGAGAAAATTACAAAATGCATTCTTATAGCTCTTGATAAGCCCAAACCACATACCAGGATGCCACAAGACCAGAAAACAAAAATATCCCCTTGTAGACCAGTCTCTGTGCAAAGTAGGAAGAAATGGGGGGGGGGGATGCCCCCCATGTGCTAAACAAAAAAGCACCATATACTTGTGGAACTCCTCTATTTTAAGCAGCATGTTCAAGAAACATTGTTGGAGACCTACTATGTGCAAGGCACTGTTTAAGTTGTTACTTTTCGGTTTAAAAATTATTACCACTTTGTCAGCACTCTCTTTAACCTGAACTAGTGAATACTGCCTTGGGTGGGCATAAAATTAAAGCCAAGGTCAAAGGAGACAGTCTCCAAACAGACCAAAAATAAAACGCTTGTGACATCATTAGAGGAAAAAAAGCCAACATAATTGCACAAAGATCAAAGGCAAAAAAAGAGAAACATGTTTGGTTAATACTGGGCTTTCGAGCATTTCTTGTGCTCGCAAGGCCCGTCTATCCATCCACACCACACTTCGTAACCATGCTATTCTAAACCGATGACAAGTCCAGCTTCGTCGCGGACAGGGCGCAAAGCGCAGATCCCACAATCCAGACCCCGCTGCCAACTCTCCTCTGGGAAGGAAGGAGGCGTTTCCCTTAGGGCAACTGTAAAATAAAGCAGCCTCTCTAATCTCTTCCTCCAGTAAGAAAGAAATGTCGGTCCAAATAAATGAATACATAAATAGCTACATGAAGGGTAAGAGGTGGAAAGAGGGGAAGGGAAGCTCTTTTCCTTTCTTTTTAAATTTCCCGCACCCCTTTTCCACCCCGCCTCCCCACACCGTCCCCACTTTCAGCCGCAGCTCTGGAGACCCGGACCGCGCGCTGCTGGGCGGTCGGGTAGAGGGTCTTTAGAAAGTAGGCGGGACTGGCCAGATGAATAATTCGGTGTCCGATTTTTCCTGCCTTCGGTGGCAGTTCCTCCTCCGATTCGTTACTCGATTGCACACGCGGCCCGGCCCTCGGCCCTCGATTGCTCGGGCCTATCACCCTGGGATGCCGCCTGCCGCCGCCGCGGCTGCCGGGCTTGTGGGATCGGTGGCGGAGCCGGAGCCGCGGCGGGAGCCGTGGCCTGAGAGTTAGGGGGGCGGGCCGGCTCATTCCTGGGGTGGGGGCCGAGGACTGGCGGGCGAGAACCCGGGGCCACCGCCCCCCTTCCCTGAGGGAGCGGACACTCCGAGCCTCTGAGGCAGCGGCGGGAGCCGGTCAGAGGGGGCGGCCCCTGGCGGCGACGCCCCCAGCCCTGCCCTGCCCTGCCCGGCCCCACTCCATCCCCAGCCCCAGCCCGATCTAGCCGCGAGAGACGCCGGCGGGGGTTGAGGAAGGCGGCTCCGCGGGGCCCGCCCGCCCCTCCCGGGTCCTTCCACGTCCCCTCCCGGGAGGGACCCACACCTGAGCCCGGACCCACCCCCGGCCGGGGCCACGCTGGATCCGCCTCCCGGCCTGGGTCCCGCCCGCCGGCTGCAGGTGGGCTGCAGCGCCGGAGCCGCGGGCAGTGGGCGGCGGGGAAGGAGGTGAGCCGCGTCCGTGCCGGCTGACGCTCCGGTCCTTGCCCCCGCCGCTGCGCTCTCCTCCTCCCTTTCCCGCAGGCAGGGCGCGGAGTCGCGCGCCCGCCCCGCCGCCGCCGCCTTGTCCCTCTGGGGCACCATGGAGCTCTCCCCGTCGTCCGGAGGAGCCGCGGAGGCGCTGTCCTGGCCGGAGATGTTCCCAGGACTGGAGTCCGACTCGCCGCTACCCCCGGAGGAGCTGGAAGCGGTTGTCCCAGTCGGTGGGGCCGTGGCTGGTGGCATGTTGGATCGGATCTTTCTGGAGTCCGTGTGCCAGCAACAGAGCTGGGTCCGGGTGTACGGTAAGGACCACAGACCATCCTAGAGGCTGGTGTTTTTGCTCTGGCTGAAATTCATCCCTAGTCTCAAGTCCTATTCTCAGTCCCCATCCATTCTGGGTCAGTTTCCCACATCCCTTTTTGTTCTGGCATGCGTTTCTGACAAGTTTCTCCAGGCTGGCGCTTGAGTAGAGAGATGTCATTCAGTATGGTCTTTGGACCTTTTCAGACACCTGCAGGAAGTTTAAGGTGGAGTTGGGCTACGCAGACTTAATATATTAGGTGATAACTTCAAGGGAACTGTCAGCCGATTTCAGGGAGGTCTGATGGAACACACCATGAAATCAAGCGAACAGAGTTTCATTTCTTTCTCTTGAGTGAGGCAAGGCTGGAAACTAAGATACTATGAAATAGCTTAGCAGTGGATAAGATAATAAAATAGAATAACCAAAAATATTTATTTGGTGGGAACAGACTAATCTATAACCTCTTTCTGAACCTCATTCTCCCAAAGGCAACCACTTAGTCCAAGGGGTGTGGATTGTGTCAGATTGCACTATTGTTTCTGGTTCTCTTTGTAAAGTGACCGGGTTGCTACTCAGCAAGTTAAAAGTGATGAACACACTAAAACTTTCCCTTTCTGCATTCCTAGCAACCACCTCTTTAATTAAAACTGAATGATGATATTCTATTAGGGTGAGCCTTGTGGCAGCATTAAAACCATGCCAGTTTTGAAAACTCCTAGCCCAAGGGTTTATAGCCTGGAATTCAGGACTGAGCTGTGGCTTCCCAAAATATTAAAACGTCAAGATGTTTATCACTTAACTCACGTGAACACAAGACATTAGTGATGTGGCTGAATATAAGGGGCAAATTTGAAGCACCTGGGATCAAAGACTGACAACGTTAAGATGTTATCCTCCAGTCATGTGCATCTAAGTCTGTAGTGATCAAGTACATTATACTTTTTTCCTTCAATCTTCTGAAGAGGGTATATGTTTACTATTCAGGAGTGACCAAGGCTTAGAAGTTACCTCTCTGGATAGTTCAGTTGATTTCAAGACTTCAAGTCCATCACTATCAGAAAGATCACAGAACAAGGAGTTCAGAGATTTGAGTTTTTGCCTTGGTTCTGCCAGTAAGTGGCTATGTGATTTGGGGTAGATCAGGTAACTTTTTTTTTTAAGCCTCTGGTTCTTCATCTGTAAAGTTAACGAATTGGATTAATAATCTCTTAATGGCCCTTTCAGTTTTAAAAATCCTGTAGTTCTTATAACCAGTTCTTAAGGATTTATATTTGTACCATTTTATATTTTGCTTGATGTTTATACGTGGTTTTTGATGTTATTCTAAGCCCCTGAAAGAATTAAAGAAGTAGGAGATGATGCAAGGTCACCCAGTTCATTCTCAGCAGATTAAAAACTTCAGTGCCTGATTTTCCATCCACCTGCCGATCCCACTTACCCAATAGCTTATACCAAAGGTTGATGAGAACCTGAAAATGAGCTTGAATTAGAGTATATTATAGTTACATTTTCCCATCCTATCCTCCTTTTTATCCTTATACATTTCTTTGGCACATTGTTTTTTACATAAAGTTAGAGATAGGCCATGTTACTGCAAGAGTATATTTCAGTGTCCAAAACTATTCTGTTTGGGTATTCCAGACCTAGCGTAAATTACTGTTCTTTGCGTGTAACCCATAAAAATATGTGCAAGTTTTTGTTGTCCATTTTTAGGGGTAGATTTGTGAGGGGTATGTATACATATATACACACACGGATATGTGGGTATTCTTAAGTATATATGGATAAATATACGTACATATATTCTCTTCTCATGCACATATGTACTGTGCATTTCAGTGTCAAGTTGCAGACTTTCCACTGCATTGTAACTTTTTTGTCTTCCCTATCAATTAACCAGATGTTTTTATTTACTGTTTAGTACTACTACTTTCCTTCCTCTAAGGCCACTCATCCTGGATACTCCTTTGTTGTCTTTAGTTTGATGTAAATATTCCAAAACTATCTGAATGATTCTTGGCTTTTCTGTGTCCTTAGCTAGTTTTTAAGTTGCCTATTGCATAACTCTTTGAAAAACTTTGAAGTAAAAATAATAATACAATGTAGAAAATCAGTTTGGAAAACACTAGTTCATTTTTGTTTTTTTGTTGTTTACTTGTTTGTTTTGTGTGTTCACAATTCTGATTGTTTTGGAACATTTAGGTTCTTTTACACAATTTAAGGAGACTTTGATGAATGTGGTCTAATGTTTTTAAAAGAAATTCAGAAACCTAGTCTAGAGTATACAACTGGGGATTGAGAAGTAGGGTTTTTATTCTTTCTTTGCCACAAATTGGTTGTCTAACTTTGGGTAAGTAATTTTAACTCTGTGGCTCTAGGTTTCTACATAAAATGTAGAATCTGGACTAATTGGTATCTGTGGTCCATTCTAGCTATAGAGTTGTCTGATTCTGTGGCCTGCCCTATTATTTTACCTACAACTTAGCCTACCAATTCCAGTCTGACTCTTGGGGACAGGCTTCAGGAAAACCCTTAATGAGTTTAAATCATGATTGTCGGGGGCTTCTGGGGAGGACTTTTATCAAAAGGTCAGTGAACTTGGTTGTGAAAGCAGGAATGTTGAGGGCAGATGTATATTTGTTTGGAATGTTTTGACAAGATAGGAAGGTGGGGGAAAAGGGGATCTTGCTCAGGTGAAGCTTATTCAGTTTTGAGCACTAACCTGAAATAGCCATGTGGATTTTATTTTATTTTAAAGATTTTATTTATTTGACAGAGAGAGACACAGCGAGAGAGGGGACACAAGCAGGGGGAGTGGGAGAGGGAGAAGCAGGCTCCCCACTGAGCAGGGAGCCCGATGCGGGGCTCCATCCCAGGACCCTGGGACCATGACCTGAGCCGAAGGCAGACACCTAACGACTGAGCCACCCAGGCGCCCCACCATGTGGATTTTAAAAGGGTACAAAGTAAGGAGCTGTATTAAGTGCTCCTGGCTTCTGGCTATGATTCACATCCTCTACCATATACTTATGTTTTTTTGTTTGTTTGTTTGTTTATTTTTAGGTCAAGAGCTTTTATTTTTTAAATATTTTATTTATTTGACAGAGACAGTGAGAGAAGGAACACAAGCAGGGGGAGTGGGAGAGGGAGAAGCAGGCTCCTCACCAAGCAGGGAGCCCGATGCGGGGCTTGATCCCAGGACCCTGGGATCATGGCCTGAGCCAAAGGCAGACACTAAACTGATTGAGCCACCCAGGCGCCCCTACCATATACTTATGTTTGAAATCAATAAGCAAACAAGTAAACAAACGGCAATAACACCCCCCCCAAACTGAATACCTTAACAGAAACTTTTGGAAATAATATTTTATTAGTTTGCCTCATGAAATTTGAAGACTAGGCACTGTTTTGAGTTTGCTATCGACTATTTTGTTGATAAAACGTATATTTAGAGTTTTGTGTATTGCCAGGATTGGAAAACTTTTTCTGGAATCTGTCCAAGCTTTATAATAGGTAGATGTATATTTAGAACACAAATACCTATCATTAAGACATAGCTAAGAGAAAATATGCTGCCCTGGCCTTCATTTTCTTTTAGTTGTAAAATGTTTCATTTGTTTTATTACAGTTTTATAATAAGTTGTGCCCATGCCCTGTCAAGACTATAAAATGTTTGATACCAGGAAATCTGTTTTGTTTGTCTTTGTATTCCTATCTTGCCACCCCTTCATTGTCACCGTGTCTAGCAGATTGGTACCTTGCTCATAGTCAGTGTCTGTTGAATGTTGATCCATGTGTCCTTTGACCATCCAGATCTCAACCTGACTGATTGTATGGGTGGCAGAGTAGCTTAAACAAAGGCATGCCACAAACAGCTAAATATGGATGCAGAATCCAAGAGCATCAAATGCAGAACATTTTTCAGATATTTATAGCCTCAAAGCAAAGTCAATTGGCTGAAAAAGCGCAGCAGCCTAGCAAAAGGAAACGGGAGCGGCAAAGCCAGCCTCACTGTCTGTGCTTTCTGGTAAACAATGAGAACATTAAAATTAACTACTTTACCATGAATGGACGGCGAGTGCAGGACACTGGGAGACATTGAAGATGCCAGTCTCTGTTAGTGCCTGCATTGGAGCTTTGCAGCCATCAGCACAACGGGTCTGCGAGTGTGTGCGCAGATGTGCCCTTGGATAGCTAGAGGGGAAATAAGTTATCACACTAAAGTGCTCACCAAGCAGTCATATGGTTTTGATTTTAATAGTATAAGCAGGACTTATCTAAAATATTCAGTTAATAAAATAAATAACATCAACATTATTGCTTACCGTTAAGCTAGTATATAGCTCATTGTTTATTGATGACTGATAGGGATCTGCTGGAAATTTTCCAAAGGCTGGTACTATTTCAGCAAGCAGAACAGAAAAAGAATTAATCATACTGCATCATATACCATATAATTCTGGAAATGTGACAAATGAGAATTTGGTAAGAATTTCTCATGAACTCCATATGAGTTGATGGGGGACAGTTTTCCCTGTTTGTAGTAAATAGTTTTGCTTATGTTTCATGAATTAAGTCAAAGGATGAGATAGGTTTCATTGCATTTTTAGAGAATATGCCTCTATATTTACTTAAAACATTGTAACCAGTAACAAGTCTAAGAAGTTGTTTCATTTTGGTGCATATGAAGATGTCACTAATTCATTGGCCTTATAAGGAATGTTCTTAACATAATTAACTTTGAATATTCTCAGTGAATCACTCATTCTTACATGTCTTAAATATGTACCCCATGCTTGACTTCTGTTTTGTATTAATGTGTGGATGAATGAAATTGTTCAAGTTTTGTGTGCTCTAGCTACTTGATTGCTCGAAGAAAATCAGTGAATGTGTACTCAGTACATCCCAAAACATGTTCGTGTTACTTAAGTGTTTTAATTTCCTCAAATACTATACATTGAACTTTTATAATGATTATTAATATTTTAGCAATTCTTG